GGGACTATGGTGGTGGCACAGGGGTGATTTGGTGATGGGAAACCCGTGGGGATTACAATTGAGATGAAAAAAAAAAATGTGCAAAATGATGTAAAAATAAACTTTGTAATAAAAAAAAAAGTTCTGGCAGTTAAACTGGAGTTTTGGCAACTAAGCTACTTGTGAGAAGGGAGTGCATGCTTTTGTAATATCAATGAACTCATGTGAGAGACTGGTAAATAAAGAAATAGCATCAGTATAATGGAAATTAAATTGGTTCATAATGATTCCCCCAGAATTTTAATAATTTGTGCAATGGATAATAATCGCAAATTACAAAGTATAATAAAACAGTCAAGTACAGTCAAAAAGAGAAATGCTAATTACATGATACTAGTTCACTCCATGGTCTCCCCATTAGTTCAGTGGGGTAAGTGGAAGCGCTTATTGCACGATTCCCTCTAATGTTTGTATATCTCACTCTTGCTCCATTACCTGTATTTACACATCCCCCTCCAGCCACCACTGTTTTTTGTTGTTTTTTAAGGTAAAGAAATACTAAATAAAAGAGCTTATTTTTACATGACGTTTTAAATTGAACTAGTACTTTGTTACTTATTGGTTTTGTTTTGTACGTTGCTATTTATTTTTACCATGAGCCTTGTTATTTTTAGTACTCAATTTTAAAGAATTATTCAGAAGAGCACACATTGCATTATGGCAGAAGAACCAGTACTGCCCTGGAAAGATGTGAAGGACACATCATTAAGAGAAAAAGTTTATGAAAGTATGAACCCGCTAAAAACCAGATGTACCTTACAGCAACACAGGTTAGAATTGAGTGGGTCAATGTTACACATGGATTTCTTATAACAGATTACATAAACTTTTGGTATCAATAAATCATATGCCTTATGATTTTTCTATCATTTTCTACTTTCTAGTTTATTATAAGAATACAGCATAAAAGCCACATAGCATACAAAATATGTTAATCAACTATATTAATTGTTAGGTTTTTATATCGAGTAGTAGTAGGCTATTGGTAATCAAATTTTGGGGGGAACCAAAAGTTATGTGTGGATTTTCAACTGTAGGCTGAGTGTCAGACCTAATCCCTACGATCCCAAATATATTGGTTACATATACATGATTTAATATAATACCATTTCTGAAAGGTTATATAAAAAACTAAAAACAGTGGTTACATTTGAAAAGTGGAGCTAGGTAGTTGAAAAGAGATTTTTTTTTAAACTTTTTACTTTATAACTTATTATTCCATCGGAAAATTTCTACAAGTGAGAATTGCTTTTTTGGCCCTCCCTGGAGGAGCAGCGGGTTAAAGCACAGCACTGAGAGTCTGAAGCCACTTCCTCATAGTTCGATTCCTGCCTGCCCCGGAGGTGACCACATGGCGTGGCAGACCTCTCCTGACCCGCCCGCTGCTCCCCTCAGCAGTGTGCTTCATAGATCTGCCTGTTCTGTACCCCACTCTGTTTCTCTGGTGAAGCCTCTCACTGCCCCTGGGCCTCTGGCCTGTACCCCAGTTCTGTATGCACAAATAAATAAAAATAAATCTTAAAAAAAAAAAGAATTGCTTTTATCAAAGAGAAATAAATGTTTAGCAATTTTTAAAGTAAACTTACCTCTAATAATCGCTTTTCCCAATGGTTGAGCTCAGTGCCCATACCACCTTGATTTTCAAGTTCCATTCCTTCCAAAATTGGGCAGTTAAAATGTTTTCTGGCTTCATCCTAAAAACCAGGAAAAAATACAAATACAACAAAAGTGTAATAAGATAAAAGCAAACATTTTATCACACTGCATATATTATAATAAAGTAGAAATTAAAGAATTATTTTGATAAGAAAAGGGAACATTCTTAAGTGGCTGTGGATAGCCTTATAGTGCTTCGATTTAACCCATTGCACCACCAGGGAAGCACTTAAAACACATCTTTTATATAAATCTTTTAAAAAAGATTTTTCTAATCTTTTAAATCTTAATTTTTTTTTAAAAAAAGGACAATGGAGCCCTCCCTGGTGGCACAATGGGTTAAAGTGCAGCACTATGAAGCGATCTGCAGCCACTGCTGCACAAGTTTGATCCCTGGCCAGGGAGGTGACTCACATGGCACAGCAGAACTGCCTGCTGCTCCCCTCAGCAGTGTAATTTACTCGATCTGCCTGTTCTGTTCCCCACTCTGTCTCTGGTGAATCCTCTCACTGCTCCTGCACCTCTGGCCTGTACCCCAGTTCTTGTATGCATAAATAAATAAATCTTTAAAAAAAAATAAAGGACAATAATGAAGGAAAAGAGCAAATGCTTTATGAGACAGAAAGAGATTCAGCAATACTTACCACAACACGAGGTGTTACTAGGAGATACACAGTGTGAGGCACTACCTTATTATTTCGAACATTCCATAATCTTTCTACCTTTCGAACTACTTTATCACTCCACTGATATAATCCAAGACTGCAATTAAAAAATAAAAAGTCATTTTTACAAATTCACCACTGTTTTAAATACAAGTGTTTATAAAATACTTTATACAAATATTGAAATACAAATTAAAATATTTGAGTTTATTTTGTACTAAGTCTACCCAAAGAACTTGATAGTATTCTTTCATTTAATATTTTCAACAACTTTATAAGATTATCAATATCTTGCCGATTAAGAATAAAGAGATGGGGTCCTCCCTGGTGGCTAACATGTTAGGATGCAGCACTGCAAGCTGGCCGCAGCCTCATTGTGAGTTCCATGCCCAGCTCCACTGGTGACCCACAAGGTACGGAATACCTCTCCTGATGCCCCTGCTGCTCCCCTCAGCAATGTACTTCGTCGATCTGCCTGTGCTGCTCTCCACGCTGCATGTCTGGCCTGTACCCAGTTCTACATGCATAAATAAATAAATCTTAAAAAAAAAATCTTTTTTCAAATGATACTTCACTAGAAGAAATTTAAGATCATTTTTTATAACTTTTGGTGGGCAGAAACATTATTAAATAATAAAGGAAAAATAATAATATGAAATTTTAAAACATTTGACAAAAACATGCTAAATGAAATAATAAAAAGATCACAAAATGGGAAAATACTTTCAATAAACATGAAAAAGAATATCCTTTATTATAAAGATCTCCTACAAGTGAACAGGAAGGAAAAAATAGCCTTACAGATTAGACAAAGAAAACAATACAATAAAAAGAGAATGCACATGACTAAAACTTCACTAGTAGATCTGTAAGTACAATGAATTACCATCATTTACTCATCAGATTGGCTTTAAAGAAAAAACCCTACAATATCTAGTATTGGTAAAGTGATAAAAAGTCACTCACTTACCTTTGGAGAATAATTTTCAATTCTCCCTATAACCTAAATCATTTTCTCTGATTTTTTCCCTAGGTGACTTCTACCATGAACCCTATGAATCTCTCATTCTTCCCTACAGAACAAAATACAGAGATCCTACAATTATTTAATGAAAATTTTAAACATATGCTAAAAGAATTATGCACTGAACATCTGTACACCAATATACATCAGTAAGATGCTACTGTTGTTTCAGATATTTATTTACCCATGCCTTAGAGAGGGTATTTTTAATTCTTTTTCCATGGTAAGTATGTTTAAATGTAACAGTGAACAAAGTCAGCAAGAAAATAGTTGTATCTTTTTAAACACTCCAGTACCTCTTCACTACTCATACTTCACATTCACGATTAATCCTTTCCCTAAATAATCACATTAGGGCTAAATCCAATTATGTGTGTCTAATAACTTATACCCCTAAGATCCTCAATTATACTGTAAGATGTCCTACTTTGGATGACTACTCTCAATGTAAGAAAGTAGAATAATGTCAGCTTACCAATGGTTCTTGTGTTTTGGTGGATCTTTCCTCTTTATCTACATCATTTTGTAAACGATGCCTGTATCACTTTATGTTTTTCCATTAAGACCATAACTCTTAAGGAAATGCCAGGCTTTTCCCATACCACCAAACACAATCTAGTATGGAAAACATCTATTTCTACATTAGAATTTTGGTTTTTCACATGAAAATAGTATTATCTGCTTTAATAATAATTTAATTCTGGTTATTTTAATAGAGATCTTTGTAAGTATAGTAAAATACACATAAAGTAAACAAGTGTTAAGTGTAAGGTCTAACTTTTTATTATACATCCATACCAACTACTCTGGTAAACAGAACAATGTCAGCATCCCTGGAAGATGTCCTCATGCTCCTTCCCAATGTGTACTCAATCTTTGTGATATTTAACAGCCTGCCCATCAATCTGTCTCTGCTGTTATCTTTTTTCGACCCCAATACAAATAATACTATCTGACTTCTTTTACTCAACATTTATCTTTGACATTCACACACATTTTTGCATGTACCAACAGTGTGTTCTTTTGTAGTGCTTGTTAGTTTTCAATTATAGTACTATATAATTTTTTTTAAAGATTTATTTATTTATTCAAACAGAACTGGGGTACAAGCCAGAGATACAGGGGCGGTGAGAGGCTTCACCAGAAACAGTGGGTAGCAGAACAGGTAGACTGACGAAGTACACTGCTGAGGGGAGTAGTGGGTGAGACAGGAGAAGTCTGCCGTGCCATATGGATCACCTCCGGGGCCAGGGGTCAAACTCACTGAGGCAGCTGCCACCAGCTTGCAGTGCTGCCTCCTAACCTGTTGTGCTACCAGGGAGGGCCATACTATATAATTTTTTACTCAATCTACTATTGACAAATCTTTGGGTGGTTTCTATTTTTTGGCTGTTAATAAAAATCCCATGTACAGTCTTAAATGTCTTTTTGCAGAAATGCTTAATTTAGACACTTTTAATACAAATACATACAAATGGTTACAGCTCTGTACAAAAGTCTTAGTAAATTCCTTCGTATTTATTGATAATTTATTTTAAGCTCTAATCTTCTAGATTAGAGATCTAATCCTCCTGCTAACTAAGTGCTAACTAAGTCAGTTAGCAAGCAAATATTGCCATTTACAAGCAATAATGATTAATAAACCCAAAATATAACCAAGCCATATTTTTCCAAATTCTGACCATACACTAAACGAACAGCAGTTGCAATGTGGTGGGAAAGAGCTCTGCCTGGCAAGAAAATCCTGGCTCTTTGACCAGTCACTAAGCTTCCTGTATATCAATTAATTCATCTATAATTAATCTACCTGTTACATCTTATCTTTGTTAAGCTACAATCCTCGTAGGCTAGCCATAAGGTCACTAGAATTTAACTATAATTTAAAAGAACAAAAAACATTGAATACCTATTATTAAAAGGTGGAAGACCATCTGGAAATCTTGAAGTAAGAGGATTTCCATCTTTATCATGGTAGAATGCAAATAGTCCAGCAGAGAAACCCTGTAAGAAAAGTTCAAAATGCCTCAAAGTGAAAATGTCATGTCTGATTACAATATAAAAATATGCCATTATCAAATAAGAACACTAATGTTATCATATAAAAGCAACATGCAAATAACCCTATAGGATTTTCTCTTATAATAGAATTGGGACAATGAAGAGCTTCACATTAATATATTTTAAATTCCATTAACTTGAGGTAATTGTGAGGAAACCAAAAATAATGGTAACAAAGACATTCTTTGGTGTCGGCACAGACAATACATTTATTTGTTTAGAATGTGTTTTCACATTTGATCGTCTTCATATAAATTTACTGGATTCTACAGCTGTATCCAGGGGATGGCTGCTATTAAGAAAAAGTACAATGCCGTTTAGAGTGGGGGGTGGAAGGTCAAGAGTACTCCTAAGAGCACCCACTAAAACTCAGTTCTTTATATCTACCAGTATAAAAACACTAATTTGAAGGGATATATATATGTAATTCTATGTTCACTGTAGAACTATTTAAAATAGCTAAGTTATGGAAATAGCCTAAATGCCCAAAAACAGAGAAATAGGTCAGACAAATGTACACACACGTGTAGGAATACTACCCAGTTATAAAAAGAGATGAACTCTTGCCATTTACAATATGGATGAATATGGAGAGGATAATGCTAAATGAAATAAGTCAGAAGAAGAAAGACAAACACCAGATGGTCTCCCTTTTATGTGAATACAGAGAAACATAACAAAGGGTCATTCAAAACCAAATCAATAACAAACTCTTAATACTCTGACTATAAAACTAAGACAACCTAAAGAGAAGGGTAGTGAAGTGGGAGTAGGGTAGGCAAAGGCCCCAAAACAGGGTGGCTTTTGAGGCTACTAGTGATGGCATGGTGTGAAAATAAACATGTGTAGAGATTTGAACCTATAACTCCAAAGCAGATACAATGATATAAACTAACTTCAATAAACACATTTGGAAAAAAAATTCAGACTTTTATCTCAAAGTCCACATTTTATACATCAATACCTGAAGTGTGTGTGTGTGTGTGTGTGTGTGTGTGTGTGTGTGTGTATACACTCAGGGAAAAAAAGACTGGGCTGGACACGTTAAAATGCTCACTATGGTTCTACTGGTGTTGAGATAATTGGAACACTATAACCACTGTTTTTTTGTTTTTTTTTTTTTAAGAAAAAGAAAGTATTTTTGCACAGAACCAGGGTGCAGGCCAGAGTTTGTTTAGGGAGGGGGGGTGGATATGAGAGGATTCACCAGAGCCAGAATGGGGAGCAGAATTGAAGAACAGGCAGATCTACTGAAATACACTGCTGAGGGCAACATCAGGTGAAACAGGCCAAGTTCTGCTGTGCCATGTGGGTTAGTTCCTGGGACTGGCATCAGACTCAGCCTTTGGTGGTGGACCTTTGTGGAGGAAGCACTGATACTTAAACCCTAGGCCACCAGGGAGGCCTGATTATCATTAACTAATTGGTTAATTAATTAATATATTGTTTAATAATTTTATTTATTTATGCATTCAGAACTGGAGTACAGGCCAGAGGTGCAGAGGTGGTAAGAGGATTCACCAGAAGCAGAGTGGGGAGCACAACAGGCAGACTGATAAAGTACACTGTTGAGGGGAGCAGCAGGTGAGACAGGAGAGGTCTGCCACACCATGTGGATCACCTCCCTGGCCAGGGATCGAACTCATGCTAAAGCGGCTGCAGCTAGCTTTGTATTGCTGGGCTTTAATCTGTTGTGCCACCAGGGAGGTCCCCTGATAATCATTAATTTACATGAAAAAATTATGCAGCATTTGCAGATCCAAAAACTAACTTACCAAATCATACAAAATAGGAATGTTTTACTTTTGGACAGTGGGGGAAATCTGTTACATTATTAAGAAATCTTCAATTTTAATTAGATAACAGGTAGTTTAAATAAAATTATTCAAATTCCATTCCCTTCCCTCTCAAATGAGAAAAAAAACCTCTAATAACTTTCATAAGTGAGATTTCTTTTCTAATCTAATTACTATAATGAAGGACTTTGTAATTATGCTTTACATATGTTTTATACATTAAGTATTGTAAGAATGAAATGTTTAATAATAAATGAATAGTAATCATAAATTATCAACTAATTTATTGTCAAATATCTTTGCTTATATAACTACAGTCTGTCATTCAAGGCTTGCCAAAATGATTAATGGAGTCCAGATTATTGTTTTATTTCTGTATTTCTTCTTTAACCTCTTCAATACAAAGGATACATAATGAAGTCAGCTAAGAAAGTTTAAATTATTTTTCATATGCAATTCACTGAATATGTAAAACATAATCTAACATGATTTGCCACATTCTTTTTTTTCTAAGATTTATTTTTAATTTATTTATGCATATAAGAACTGGGGTGATGACCAGAGGTGGGTGGAGGGTAAAGGAGTTTACCAGAGACAGAGAGGGATGCAGAATAGGCAGACAGACTGAAATACACTGCCAAGAGGAGCAGTGGGTGAGACAGGAGAGCTCTGCCATGTGATGTGGCTCAGCTCCCTGGCTGGGGATGAAACTCATGCTGCAGTGGCTGACCACAGCTTGACAGTGCTGAGTCTTAACCTCTAGTACCACTAGGGAGGCCCAATTTGCCTCATTCTTTGCAATAATCTAAATGTACATTTTTTTCACCCTATTAACCTTAAAACTTTTCTTAGCATTCACATTCCTGACGGCTTAACTAGTATTCCAAGTACACACACTATATATAGTGAAAAGGAACCTAAAAACCACATAATCTTAAAATAATAGTAAAAACATCAAGATGAGCACATACTAAACAGAAAATCAAATCATGAAAGGAAGAATTAGTAGTTAGCAGGAAATTTTACCAAGGCATGAATAATTTCATGTTTCACTGTGGACAGCATTCCAATAAATTCCTGAGGCTGGGTAGAGATCATATTTGGACACAGGTTAGCATATCCCGCAATAGGCCTGTTAAAATAGACATTAATTTTTAAATTGTATTTCAGAAGAATACATATTATGATATTTGCTAACTATTGTAATACTAACCTATATTTTTCTATCAAAAACTGCCCTAGGTGAGAAAAATCTGCTAAATATCAAAATGCCTCTTTGTACCATAATATCTTAATTTCTACTATCATTTACTTTGAAGACATAAACCTTTTTTTCTATGGCACGACTATTGAACATACATATCCATAAGAGAATACAGTCAATTATATTCTAGTGTGAGTCTTCAAAATATGTCCAGTGTGTGCTCCAAACAAGAATGAACTAAAAAACTCAAATTCTAATATTATTTTACTCATAAAATCTACAGTTGACTTTAACAGTTCACTATGTTTACAGCACAGGGACGGACAAGTAGTTGGGAGAACCAGTTATGAAATAGGACAATAAGCAAGACATTCATGTTGCTGAAATTTGCTAAGAATTGTTATCTCAGTCTCATTATTACCTTTTCCCCATTCATCCACATAAAGATTCTTATCTTTCTCTCTTCCTTCATATTCTACATTTTCTAGAATCTATGCAATTCTCTATCTCTTTTTGCACCTGGAACCTTATAATTCAGGAACCGCCTAGGACCTAGAGTAATTCAGCTCCACTGTGTATCTACTACCTGTCTCTTTTCTACTACCTGTGTCTTTTCTAAGGGAGTGGCAAAAAATAATAAGGAAACTCAATGTTCTTTCTCCTAGTACCATCTTAATATTTTACCACAGAACTACCACAAACCACACCAAATCTGTCATCTATTTCCAAAGGCATTTGCTTTACATAAGTAAAAAAAAATTCAGGATGCATAATTTCTTCAAAATTGAAAATACACACTTGGAAAAAGTATGAGTTCCCAAAACAGAGCCACAGTGACCTCAATTATTTTTTACCTTTAAAAGCCATTGTATCATGTATACATGTCAAAATTCATACAATTTTACATACTAGATATGCACAGTTTGTTGAATTTAAATGTGTTATAATGAAGCAGTAAAGAGTGAACTTAAAAATTATTGGAACATTCAGTCAATTATATATCATTAGAAATATTTTTTGAACGATGTTGATAATGAGACTCAAGGACTACAACAAACACTACAATTACATACACACTGCTACCTCTAAAATATAAAATGAATGTCACGGCTAGGCTTAAACCCTTTCAGGAACTTCCTGTAACATTTAAAACAAAACATTTAGCATCCTTTAAGCTCTCATCCTCCAACATAAGTGATCACTAAAGTGGTTTCTAACCACAACAATCCACATGGTTTATTTCTAATGTAAGCTCTTTGGCTGAAGTCTATCAACATTTAGGCTGGATGTCTATCAATGCTTCAGTTAAAATATAAGTTTCACTTTTTAAAAGAGGCCTTCTTTGACAATTAGTCTAAATGTTTCCCTCTTTTGTTGCAGTACCCTTCTTTCTAAGAGGTTTTTATTACATTTTGATATCACGGAATTATTCGCCAATCTATTTTACCAGTACTTGTCACCCTCACAATGTCTGAGTTCTAGGAGCTAGGCACAGGTGTCTATTTGTTCACCTAGTCTGCTGGCAACATACTGGGTACTCAGTCAGGAAATGAATTAAAGTAATAGAGCAGTTTTTAAGGTATGTTTTGTTCAAAGATACCAATCTTTCTTCCATCATCAACATTCTCCTGAGAAGAAACCAAAACCTCTCCCCAGATACGGAAAACATATGTAAATGAGAACTGTTATAGTCACTGATAGTGCATAAATAAAAAGTAATAAAAGCTAATTGTAAAAAAGTACCTATCCAAACAACATTGAAATGTACAAATAAAAAAGAGAAAATTTTTTCTAACCCATTCTATTAGAGGTAACTACTCTCAGTAATTTGGTGTGCTTTACTTTTACAGTGACTAGCCATTCCAGTTTGCCCAGGAGTAAGGAGCTTTCAGTATTAAAACAAGACTTGTACTAGGCAAAGTGGCACGGATGGTGAGCCTAATTATTTTATTTTATTTTTTCCTGAGCACATTTTTGTACAAACAGAAGACTTTTAAACAAATATGGAAAAATGTGCACTGTTTTTACAATGTAAAAAGTTTCACTTTTTAAAAGAGGCCTTTTAACAGTGTGTTCAAAACGAGTATGTGTGTTCGTGTGCGTGTGTGTGAAGATGTTCAATCCATATGGTTTCTTTCTTTTTAAAGATTTATTATTTTTACATACAAGAACTGGGGTCTGGGGCAGAGGTGAGAAGATTCACCAGAGACAAAGTGGGGAGCAGAACAGGAAGATCTACTGAAATACATTGCTGAGGAGAGCAGCGGGCGGGTCAGGAGAGGTCTGCTATGCCATATGGTTCAGCTCCCTAGCTGGGAATTGAACTCATGCTGCAGTGGCTAGTGATAGCTTGATAGGTGAGCCTTTAACTCCTGTGCCACCAGGGAGGCCAAAATAATTACTTTTGATTTCGAGGTTGCCTCACTGTAAACTTGTTTTGGAAACACTTCTGTAAATTAAAGAAAAAGGACTCTGAATTTTTAAGGGAAAATTTAGCTAAAAGCAGCAGAAATCAAATGACATGACAAGCAGATGAACATATCTTTAATACCTTACATGCTAGTTTTAACACATCAGTGCTAAAATTTAAGCTCCAAATTACTTCCCTAGAAAGGCATTTCCTTAGAAAGAAAATATCTTGACAGTAACTTCTCTTCTGGAGTGTTATGGATATAACGTTATGAATAATAGTCCTGTTATCAGCCTCTACCATCCACATCCCAAATCCAGGCAGTGTGCATTTCTCACTGCTGGAGGCAGTCCAGCCTATGCAAACTTTCTGTATTCTAATACAATGTGATTTATTTTAAGAGTTCCTGTATTATGCCTTGGGAAGTAAGTCTCAGGAGAAGTTACCTGTCCATTTTTGCTTCCTGCTGGCAATAAGCTGCATAAGAGATGATGTTTTCATGGCTGCACCTCTCGGTGGCCAGAGCACCAACATAAAGAACAAAGTCTGCATCCCGGATGCCCTCTTGGTCTTGCGCACCCACTGCTGGACAGGGCCACTTACCCCCACGGCAGACCCTGCATGGCTGCACCCATGAGGGGCAACGGAAAAGCAGACCAGAGATAAGGTTAGCAATAGGGACTTTTAGCCTAATACTAAATCTAGACTTTAAATATGCAATTTTTTTAAATGATTTTATTATTTTATTTTTCTTTCTTATCCCTGAACTTTTGTCTGAATCAGTATCTCCCTCTACTCAGTTCCTATCTCTCATTTTGATTTTATTAAAAATTGTACTTTATATAAAATGATCATAAATCTAAAATCATAATTAAACCAAAAATTGTTATTTATGAAGAGCAGCCAATCAGGATGCAAAAAAGACAGAAAGGACTTTAAACCTTGAAAGTGGGTAAAAGGGAATTTATTGCATATACCAGTAGTTCCACCTTATCTGCCTTTCAACTTTCCAGTTTCTATTACCCAATGTCTACCACAGTCGCAATACATTATCTACAAGAATATTGTGAGAATTAGAGAAAAAGGCCACATTCACATAACATTTGTTATTATTCTCGTGTTTTAGTTATTGTTGTTAATTTTTTAATGTGCCAGATTTACAAATTAAACTTTATCATAGGTATGTGTGTGAGACTGGGAAAAAAAAAACATAAAATATATAGGATGTGATAATATTACAGTTTTAGGCATTTAGTTAGTGGGTCTTGCAATGTATCCCCCATGGATAAAAGGGGACTACTCTAATTTTTTTTTGCAACTGCATGTAAAGCTATAGTTTTTCAAAATTGAACATCAAAACTTTTTAATCTACCAGAACTATATTTACTATTACAAAGTAACTCCCATTATCTTGTTAAAAATTCAGATAACAAAATATTACGCTAAAAAGCCAAAGTCATTTTGTAATACTACTTTTGTTTCTAACTTTCTAAGCAAATCTTACAGTGCCCTTATATTGTCTGCTTTTTAGAGGACTTCTAGTAGAGCTCATAAAGAAACATAATTTCCAAATTATAAATAGAAAAATCAATAAAGTGATGTTTTTCTTTTAGTTGTAAGGGATGTATGTTAAGAGGAAAAGACAGAAACCCACATTTTATTACATTACTTATTCTTGCTTTTTTAATACATGAATTTACAATTTTTAAAATCACTTACTTTAATCTACTAATGATATACAAAAAGTTGTGACTTTTTTAAGCATTCTTTCCCATGATTACACATTTACTTTTTAAAAAAAGGATTCCCAAGAAGGCAAGTAGGAAGCAAAATTTGGAAAAATAAAAAAATATATAAACAAAAATACCTTTTAAAAAGGCAAATAAATATATATTAAACAGTCTAGGAAATGTCTCTAAGTGTCTTAGGAAAAGAGACGGATTTCCTAGAGTGCAGTTTATCCCTAAAACCATTTGTACTCTCAAAAAATTTGAGAGAAGAAATAAAAACTGTGTAAGTCATACTAGTGCCCATAAAGAAGGTTCTAAGCCTTTACTAAGTTCCAAGTACTTTAAGAAAAAAATTATAAACATCTAAACTTATGCTTAATTTTGATTAAAAAGTCAATATTCAATAGTATTAATTTTCTTCAAGAAATGAGAGAACAAAGTTCAATAGAAGAAAAAAGTTTATACCAATATTTTCAAATATATATGATTAATAAATTGCCTTTCTGGTAAAAGCATTTAAAACTTTTATCTTTCCTGATACAAGTAATACATGCTTACTATAAAGTACTCAGAACATTACAAAAATATGTATCTTAACAAACAAAAAGTCACAACCCAACCCTTAAAGAAAACTTTGACATTTTGTTGTGTCTAGAGTTATGACTATGCATATTTCATGCTTATAAACTTCACTGAAACCTGAATTGATTAATTTTTAAATGGGCTAGCTACACATATCAATTTGCTTTTTTTTTAATTTAAGAGTTTAAACATCTTTGCAAATCAGTATATGGACATCTTCTACTTTAATAGTTGTATACTATTACAATATATAGTTATGCTATATTTTAATTAACAAGACCATAGGTATTTTTATAGTTTTCAAACTAATCTCCTTGAACCTATATTACACAGTTGTAAGTATTCTTATGGAATACAGTTCCAGATATGATAGAAGCACACAGACATTTTTTGATTTTCAGAGACAATGTCAAATTGTCCACCAAAATAACTGATTTTATTTTTCTGAAAGGTGTTTTACAGATAAAATTCTAAGCTGAAAAGATTCAATAGCCACAAAGGTAAGCTGAAAAAGGGGTACAGGGGTAAAGAAAAATATTAAATTCACTTGAAAACCAACGAAAGAATAAAGCCAGCATACCTATGATTATTTTTGCTAAGTTTTTGAACTTAAGTCTGTTAAAGCTTCTTGGTAACACATAGATTGAAAACCTAGACTAAGTTTATCCTAACGAGTAAAAAGCATTGCTCAGAGCAGGGTAACTTACCTGGAGGTGTTCCTCAGGAACAATAACAGGGCCGCATTTCGTATGCTCTGCACATTCCCCAGTGCAGTATCTATGGGGGTCATTTTCCTTCCGGAGGTACTGGTTTGTTGCACATTGTCTTTAGTTCATTTGTTATAAAAATAAGTAAATGAAAAGAATGAATAATTCATAGCAATTAAAAAAGCCATAAAAAAACCCTAATGCTTTATTATTATTTCATTAATACTGGTTACCATTTTAGTTAGGTAAGTGAACTAAAAAAGGATTTTAGCTCTATGGTTAAAATCTTCCTGATCTGGGCTTTCAAACACACAAATAATTTATGAAATCAATACTGTAGATACAGGTAGAAGGGAGAAAGCGGCTAGGGGAAACAGGAGACAACTATTCCCTAAGAAAAGATTGAGTGGGTTACCTCATGACAGGAAAATCTGGGAGAGAAAGATTACCAGCAAGTGCTTTCTAATTATTTTTAATTGTTTGTGGTATATATAAGCATATTAAATAAAGTATAAAATTCAAAATTTGCCATATTGGTAGGGTGGAGGGTATAGTATGAAAAAAGTAAAGAAAATTATATATGTTTAATGTGACATACCTGCTAAGTAAGATAGTGCCTGCAGGTCTACGAACCTGAAAAGTCTTCTCTAAATAAGAAATAGCTTGTGGGAAAAGTTTGTTCTAAACAAAAATTAAAAAAAAAAACACCCAGTCAGAATTATAGTTAAGGGGCATTTCTTCTATCTTCATTTAAATAGAACATTAGAAAACCTAAATCTCAACTTCTATATTACTTCAAATCTGAGACTAATTTTAGATGATTCCAACATTAAGGTGTATATGTTAAGAAAATTTTATGTTTATAAAATCTACTTTAATCTTAGAAATTTCTATAATCCATAATGAATTGACTTAAAGTGTGTCTATAACTCTGCACCATTAAATAATACTGATAGGTTGGTACCTCTATAAATAACTTTGGCATATCACACTATTGGCATATCACCTTCAGAAGAACAAACATTTCCTCCAAGAGAATGGTGTTCTCAATGTATTTCAAAAATCATCAATTTAACCTTATCTTTAATTTGTCCTGCTCTCCTACAACTTAAAAGAACTATAAAAGAAGACTGATTTAATATCAAATACTAACAAAGTTTGGGCAAGTGCATCACAAAATACCTTTGGAAAAAATGACAAACACGTACACTACCAACATCTTTTACTCAGTCATTCGCAAAATAGTCATGTGTATATTTCTTTACTTAAGTAAAATTTATGTACAATAAAATGCACACATTTTAATATACAAATCACACCACTAGTATTTATTACATACCTTTACAAGATATCTTTTCTCAGGCAGCAACCTGAAAATGACACAATACATAAGAATTGCCAACTAGGGGTAGAGCACAGACTTATTTGTTCCCAATGCAGCTGGCTGGGGCCCCAAGGAATGTGATGTGCAAGCATTCAACATCAGTGCCCTTAACTTTCAGTTTACTTCACTGAGCATGTTCTCTGTATGAAAGCACAATGCTAGGCATGATCACAATCATTTGGAAAGTTAAGCATGGGGGAAGACATCAACTACTCCTAATATCACTACATAAACCACTACAGATCATAACATCTCTGTTCTTTGGATGCCTCTTACACTAAATAAAAAAATCACTGTATCATCTTTCTGGTCAATAATTTTGTAAGTGTTCTTATTTTGCATGTGAATACTTCTTTGTATTTTTCTTCCCAAGTATTTAGTGAGGAGGTGCCTTCCAGGTCTGTTACTGTCCACATCCCAGTGGATCCACATTTATTCTGTTTATACTATCAAATGCATAGATTTTAATCACATCCTTTGATTTTTATGTTTCCAAACTTAAACATTTTTTTAATTTAATTCCATTTTGAAAGTGCATGGTACCTGTGGAATTTGGGCAAAAGGTGAAATTGTCTTTTACCCTCATATTTAAATGAAAGTAGAACTGCAATATAACATTGTATAAGTAAGCTTCAGGTGAAAATATCTTTATTATTATTATTTTAGTAATGTTAATTTATTACAATATTAGAGACATCTATAGCAAACCTATAATAGCAATATTCAGGAAAATATCTTTAATTGTTAAATTCTTAACAAAAAAGATGAGAAATAATGGTGTACTTACTCTTCTATACTTTTATCATAGACAGTCTTGATTCTTAGATGTTCATCAGCATTTCTCTTTACAACATGGTTTGCCTTAAGGTGGACCTTATTTATGACCTAAAAAGAAATATTTGAAATATTTTTAAAATATTGCAGCTTAGCTTAATAAACCAAATTTCTAGTAAAATGTCCAAAAAAAATGTATAGAGATATTCCACATTCATAGATAAGACTCAACATTGTCAAAAGTTAGTTCTTCCCAACAGTATCTATAAATTCAACATAATCCCAACAAGTTATACTGTAGATATTAACAAACTGATTTTAAAATTTATAGTGAAAGGCAAAAGACCCAGAAAAACCAATACAACACAGAAAAAGATCAAAGTTGGAGAAATGGAGCTTCCCTGGTGGTGTACGTGGTTAAAGCACGACACTATGAAGTTACCACAGCCACAGCAACACCAGTTCAATCACCAGCCATGTGGCACAGCATGTCTTGCCCACTTCTCCCCTCAGAAGTGTATTTCAGTGGAATGCCTGTTTTGCTCTCTACTCCATCTCTGATGAAGCCTCACTTCCATACCTCTGGTCCATACCCCAGTTCTTATATGCATAAATAAGTAAATAAATAACTTTTCAAAGCTATTTAAAAAAACTCAAAAGGATGGGGTTCAGAAAGCTTTCCATTTAGTGAATATAAGATTAGGAGAGTGAACTGTTCAGTGAGCATGCAGGTTCAAATTCTTTTACTCAATTCTTGCCCCATACATATCTTCCACCTGAAAGTTTTTAAGGTATATCCTTTTATAACAAACCAATACTTACAACATCTAGTAAGTAAAATTTTTCTCTAGTTTTTGAGCCACTCTTTAACAAATTAGTCAAATCCATATCTATAGTCCGTGGTTCAAAAGCTGAAGTAACAACTTGGACTTGCAAATAGCATCTGAATGGGAGTGGGGGGGGGAAACTTCTTATAGGACTGAACCCTTAATCGATGGAATCTGATGCTATCTCTGGGTAGATAGTGTCAGAACTGAGATAAATCATAAAACACCCAACTGGTATTTAGAACATATTGCTCATATGCAGAAAAGCTTCTCTACACAGTAGAAATGGCAACAGAACCCTTTACAGACATCAAAACATAAAAAAAGGGAAAATTAAGGAAAACTTTATGGCATAAATTTGACAAATTACATAAAATTTTTTGAAAACACAACTTTTCAAAAACCAATCAAGAAGAAATAGATAACTAGAATAGTCAAATATTCATTAAGGAAAATGAATTTATAGTTTAAAACTCTCCAAAAAAGAAAACTTCTGGCTGAAATTGCTTCTTTCACAAACTATAGTGAACATTTAAAAAAGAAATAATATTAATTGCATGAAAATTCTTCACTGAAAACAGAAAAGGAAGGAGTATTTCCTAATTCACTCTGAGGCCTGCATTACCCTAATGTCAAATCCAAACAAAGTTATGAAAAAGAAAATCAGGTCCTCCTTGGTGGCACAACAGGTCAAAAGCGCAGCACTGTGAAGTGATCAGCAGCCACTGCAGCAGGAGTTCAATCCCCTGCCAGGGAGCTCCACCAGGGAGCTAACTCACATGGCGCAGCAGACCTCAGCAATGTATTTCAGCGGATCTGCCTGTTCTGCTCCCCACTCTGTCTCTGGTAAATCTTTTCACTGCCCCCAACCCTTACACCTCTGGCCTACACCTCTGGCTTACACCAATTTTTTATAAAATAAATCTAAAAAAAAAAAATTAAAAGCAACAATAACTACTGGGGAAACAATAACAATGCGACAAATGAGTAAAAGTATATGAAACAAAATGACAGAATATTATAAAGTGTTGAAGCTGGGTGACCAGTCCATGGGAACTGATTATACTATTATGGTGTTGTTTTTGTTCTCATTTATATAATATAAAGCAAAAACAAAACATAGAGGTAATAGCTGAGAACAAGTCAAACTAATTTGTAGTTCCTCACCACCACCAAAAAAAGTTACTGTAATTTACTGCTAGCAACTAACAGAGGTGCAATTACTGAAGTTAATACAATAAATAGTTCTTGCCTATATTTCTGTCCAGCTTAAAGAGAAAGGTTAGGAGGACTTATTGTTACAGACTCTGTAAAGAATTAGAAAAACAAACTAGAGATGCAAACTCTCAAAAACATCTAAGTAGCTTGTTTTGATGTAGTATCACAACTCAGTTTCTTCAGCCAAGAGACAAAAAATAGGAATAGTGGATAGAAGTTTCAGGAAGTTTGCAGCTCCGTGGATCTTCAAAAGTTAAAGAACTGTCTCTGAAGATAATATCCCTCTTCATGGAGTGTTCAAACATAACAAAGTGGAGACGTGTACACTGGCAACAACCACTAGAAGAAAACAGTTATTAAAGTTTCTTCTAGTAGAAGTGCACTGGACTGTGGTGATGGCACACGGATGATTTGGTGATGGGAAGCCCACAGGAATTACAACTGAGATGGGAAAAGGCACAAAATGATGTAAAAAATAAACTATTATATAAAAAAAAGTTCCTCCTAGCACTGAAATATTAAAGTTCTTTGAAATATTTTCATTTTAATCCAAATTCAAAGAGAGAAGTGCAGAACTATATGAAAATCTTTTGCAAAAGAATTCAGAGTGATGGTGGAAGAATTGGGGACATTATCACTCAAAGGACTAAACTTGCAACCAGTCGATCCCGGAAATCTATCTAATGTACAACATAGTAATGGTAAACAGTAACGTACTATAAGCTTCAATGCTGCTGAGACCAAAGAAATTCAGCCAACATGCAGTGTCATGATACAAGCTGCAAAATAGCTACAAATTTATTTTCCTCCACATAATTACAAAGAGTTTTAACATCACTTTTTTTGGAAACTACCACAAAAATTAGTGGTTTTAGATTTCTGCACTAAACTGACAATGTCTAAGTTATTCTTTCTTGATAAAGTAATAAGATAAACTATAAAACTAAACACAACACGCACCCCTCCAAGTACCTCGTGTCCTTTTCTCAAAGAATACTTATTATTGTGGGCTTCCTCTAGGTTAAGTACTGTGGAGAAATCAAAGTATAAAATACAGACCTTACCCCAAGAAACCTTAAGTACAAAGGCAAGATATGTCCGAAAAATAATCCATCACGACGTAGCAATATCTGGTTAAGTGCCAGAAAACAAGACAGGTAAGTCATACTTGGAAATGAAGAGAATTCTGCTGGAGACTTTCGGCAGGCTACTCATGAGATTAGAGAATTTATTCGAAAAGAATTCAGACAGGGCGAAAAATAGGGTGGGTAAGAGGCTGGCACTTCCAGAGCTTGTGAACAAGGTAAAGCAACGGGATGAAGTCACTTAAAAAGTAACCTACTTGTGTCTCCAGAGAATCCCCTAAAGCTTTCAGGAAGTTTTCAGCTCCACTGATCTTCAGAAAGTAAAAAGAACTGTCTCTGGAGATAAATTTCCCTATTCACGGAAAGCCTTTATCTGGGTCTATTCTTTCCCAAACCTTTCGATCAGTTGTTTCCAAAGTGTGGTCCTAGAAAACAAACAGCACACCAACCATCTAGGAACTTGAACTGCAAATTCTGGGACTCCACCAAATTAAAGTGGGGATGTGTGGCAGCAATCTGTATCTTAACAAATCGTTCTGGTGATCCTGATAACTCTTAAACTCGAAAACCACTGCTCTTCAATTACCTGCTAATCACAACCCTCCGCACAAGAAAGTGATGATTATCTTAGTACCTAACTCAGTCACTTTGCTGGAAGACAGAAGAGTTGATAGCAGATCGCAGTCCTGTAAAGAGTTCAGTCTCTAGTTCAGTTTCACTTTCTGCGGCAGAACACCTTATTTTAATCTCTGCTATCTATGCCACCTCCATCCATACTTTGCCCCGGTAAGGCCCGCCGTAACCCTTTCGTTTACCTACCTCAGTGTCATAGGGGACGTGGTGCCGGCAAGGAGAACTGTCCAAGGAGACTTGAATAGACGTGGAGCTTGTGCGGAGTTCGCCCAACAGAAGTAAAACCCCTCGAACCCAAAAAGAAACGCTCCAAAGCCACCGGCTTGGGCTCAGGCCCGAACCCGAAGAACCGGTTCCTCCACCCCACTCAGCCGCCATCTTCGGGCCCAGCGTCGTTACCATGGAATACGTGACGCTTCAGCGCCGGGAGCCAGCCCCGCCCCTCGCCAGCAGGAAGACGCCTTTCAATTGGCTAGCGTCATCCCCAGGAAGAGAATTGCATCACGTCTATCTCGTTTCCCTGCGCGCAGCTTTTAGTAAGTCCCAAGTAGTGGAACGAGTTGGAGCAGTGAAGACTAGTGGTTGTTAACGGTAATGGTGTGGTGAGGTATGTGGGTATCTTTACTAAGGCAGTTTTTCACCCAGTGCCAGGTGCTCAGACATTTTCTGGCATAAAAGGCTAACTAGAATACTTTTTACGTTGAAAATGACGTTATTTTTAATCTCAGCTAATTTTAAATAAAATCAACGTGTCCTTTAATATTCATCCCATCCCTTAACTATTAAAAAATAATAATAAAAAAAAAAGAATTGTAACTGCATTAACCCAAGAAGAGACTTGGATTCTTGCATCGGTGATACTCTACCTTTAAAAGTTATGAGGACTTTAAGATTGAAAATTTGTGCAGGTCGTGAGGCCATGAAAAGAGAGAACCAGGAGCGGGAAGCATTCAGTTGGAAAATTGGGAGATACTCAAAAACAATCTTGTGATTGACTGTCAATAGCAGAAAATCCTCTAAAATGTACATTTGAAAGTATGCACTTAAGGGGCTCTTGCTGATGGTGCGACGGGTTAGAGTGCCATTATGAAACTCTCTGAAGCCACTGCAGCACAAGTTCAACCCCAGCCAGGGAGGTGACCCACATGGCATCGCAGAATCTCCTGACCAGCATGCTGCTCCCCCCAGCAGAGTATTTCAGTAGATCTGCCCTTTCTGCTCCCCACTCTGTCTCTGGTGAATTCTCTCACCACTCACACCTCTGGCCTATACCCCAGTTCTGTAAGCATAAATAAATCTTTTAAAAAAAAAAGTATGCCCCTAAAACACAAAAGCAGGCCACTTTGAATACTTAGGTAATATGTCTGTTAACCCACTATTTAAGATCCAAATCCAAGTTTCAAAACTTGTGCTCTTTCCACAAAAGGACTACCACAAAGAAAGCTGCACTGCAAACAAGCAATCAAGTTCCCAGTCTTAACACCATCAATGGACTAGCCCACAAGGTTTGTAGTCATGCAAACTCATTTTGGTAAAACATGAGACACCTTCAGTGCCAACTTTGGCTTGAGGTCTATCTTCAGTTCATCAAAACCTCAGTAAGGGAGCCATGAAACATCTATTTGTGCGTGTACTGCTCAGTTACCAATGCATTTACCCAGGTTTCTTCTTTGCTCAGCATCTACCACATATCCACCCCCATGGATCCTTCTACCACTTATAACATAGTACCCTACACTGAACTGTTTTAGATAAATACTAAGATTTCCCTTCCTCTGTGTACATTACTGAACAACCATCTGCCTTCTCCCAAGAACTCACAGCTGAGTACTCCTTCCTCTCAACCTCAACTCTCCCTCCACACATGACCTTCTCCCCACTCCACAAAGCCATCACAATTAATTGGCTTTGTAATTTCCAATGTTTATGGTTTCTGCTCTATTTTAGTGCTCAAAAATCTCAGTTCAGGCAGCAAAAGCTATATGGTTTTCCTTTTCCTCAGTGTGTAACTTTGTCTCTAGGGTTTCCGAAACAATAAAGGTGGCTACATGAACCACTGGGTTACACACAATAGCCTAAATTCCTTGAAGACACTACAAAAGACCTTTCATGACCTGACAATTAGTTCAGTAGACAAGCTTTCTAATTACTCATGTCTCTTCATTGATACAACTTTGTCTTTTCATTTTCCTGAAATGCTCCCTTTAGCCCTATGTGTCTTGTGACTCCAATACTGGCACAATAAAGGTACTTTTGCTTTTTGGAAACCCTTTTGAATAAAATTTACACTTCCTACCCTTTAACCCCAGCTTGTCCAAATTCAACTTCTTTTGACTAGGAATCAAATTCCAAATGGGGAGTAATCTCTGCACTGGTAAAATATGGTGAAAATTACCCAATGGTTACAACCTGCTTTTCCATGCAAATGTTTCCCTAGGGTCACAATTTCCAACTGTTAACCCACCAAGACTGGCAATATACACAAGCTCATTTCTGTGTAACACAAGACTAACCCAACAGTAACTTTGAAGAGCTCTACTACAATAAGCAAACCTTAGAACTGCCACATGCCAGACCTCTCCTGACCCATCCAACTGCTCCCCTCAACAGTGTATTTCAATAGATCTGCCGGTTCTGCTCCCCACTATCTCTGGTGAATCCTTTCATCCCTTCCTTCCACCTCTGGCCTGTACCGCAGTTCTTCTATGCATAAATAAATCTTAAAAAAAAAAAAAAAAGCCATATAAGCATCCTCAGTCATCTTCTACCACGCTAATCCATTTTTAGTATGCTATTTGTTTCCTGGCATCTGCTCAGAGTGTAAATACACTTCAAAACTTAAAATGATCAATTTGGAAAACTCAAATTCCGCTGAAACTTTTCTGTGGAATATCAGGATGGTCAATAAAAGGACTTGGTGGCTATTGTCCAGAAGGACCATACTGCAAACTAATGCCCATTACTACCAATATTTTCCCAATTTCCATTTTTAAGTTTACCAGCTACTCTATACTGAGCAAGTATCTTACACTAAAAGATAATTTTAAAAGGCCACCAATATTTTAGGCTTCTTTCACTGACCCTTAATGAAGGTAATAACCCATAAATGTAGTAAGTCACAATAAATTGAAGTAAACTTAATTATGGGGAAGTCAGAAACTCATTTTGATGTACACGTCTTTTCACCTTTAACGGTACATAATTATACTGACTGAAATGTTTTCTACCCTTGGAATGCCCCGTTGTCACTATTTGTCTATAAGCTTTGTAAAGGTTTGGTTCAAGTGCTGCATCAGTACAAACCCTTCTCCTTTCTAGTCTCCAAGCAATGTTTACTTTCCTTCCCCCACTGTGTAAGGCCCTGTTGATGACAGTGGCATCCTAATTTCATTAAAATCTTTACTGTCTATCTAAATATGTATAGTCACCATTATATATAGTTCTGTATCTATGCACCATGAAAATGCCAGATAACTGCCAACATTTTAAGCACACAGCAATATTTGGGACAGTTTTAACACCATTTAACAAAATACAAGAACAAATCCACTTTTATTGACTTGTCTGTAAGTTTAAATCCTTGAGGGGTACAGCATCTGGGTAGGGAAAAAAGAACATACAAAAACATTAGATGCAAGTTACATACAAATTTACAAATATTAAATACAATGTGGATAAATCTTTTAAATTCATCTCTGAAAGCCATTCAATGATGACTTAAATTCTGGTGGGGAGGAGAGGAAGCTGTGTTTTACAGCCTTCCGTTTATATGTGCCCATGACTGTTGAGGAACCAGTACTTGGAGCACTAACAAGTTCACTTAATTTTGCTCCTAATAATAAAAATTTCCTCTGGTGAGAAATTTCAACTGCTCAGCAGAGTTCATTAGTACATTGTGGCCCCAAGAATATGGCTACGTCTATGAAAAATAGACTCTAAGAAAAAGAGGAACTATTTGAAGTCCTGAGATTTAAAAACATAAATGAAAAACATCTGTTTTGCACAAGACTCAAGTTTTATCTTCTAGAAACTAGTTTACTGTTCAGTATCTCAGCCAAGAAATTATTAATGAAAATACCATCCTCCCCTTCTAGCATAAGCAAAATTGGAATCTAGGGGGCAACTGATTTAAACTCTTCGCCTTTATCCTCTAATGCAAAGAATGTGGTATTACAAAAAATATGTGAACAGAAGTCTAATTTTGCAGCACATTCTACTTCTGACTTTTTGCAATGGTCCTCTGAAGTTAAAGCCCAAATCTTTGAGCTTAGTTTGACTCAACATGATGCCACTGCCAAGACTGTACTTACCACACGGATTCTGTGTCCTATGGCCTTAGCTGGAAGGTTGCTTCGGAATTTTGCCCGAACCATGCCACTGTTTCCATGGGCACGTGTTACTTTCCCCCAGATTACTCTGGTTTTATTCGGTTTGCCACCGGGAGTCACTGTGTTGCTAGTTTTAAAAGGGGATTAATCAGTTATGAATATGCAGCAGCAGGTACTCTAGACCAGTGGCTCTTAACTCTTTTTGCCAACTTAGTTAGCTCAGACACCATTCAAATATTTGAGTTCCTACTTTATACCAGACACCTTTGTAATCTAACTTTCTCTAACTTAGAAAAATATAGTTTACAAAACAATCATTTTCAGAGAATAACCAGTAAATAAATATACAGAATGTCAGCCGGTAACAGCTTCAATATTGAAAAATAAAGGAAAGGAAAACAAATGTGAGGATGTCTGTGTGCAGGAAGAGGGAGGAATTTGTTTGCAAAGTTAAACAGCTAAAAGTGGACCCTGGTGGCGCGACAGATAATGCTATGAAGCTGTCCACAGTCACTGCAAGGCAAGTTCTATTCCCAGCCCATGGCGTGGCAGACCTCTCTTGACCCGCATCTTCTCCCCTCAGCAGTGTAATTTGTCAGTCTGCCAGTTCTGCTCCCCGCTCTGTTTCTGGTGAATTCTCTCACCACCCACACCTCTAGCCTGTACCCCAGTTCTTGTGAGCATAAACAAACAAACTTCTAAATAGCTAAAAGAGATCTCTGAGAAGTTAACACTGTAATGAAATTAAATAAACAGCCTGTGTCTAAGGTAATGTTTGTCAGCTTGCATCAAGTCAGAAAATACCAAGTGACAAGATCCTACCTGGTTTAAGAATAGAAACAGAGAAAGCCCTGAACACATTAGGTCTTAGAGGCTCCTCCATGACTCTGGTACTTACTGGAAAGGAGTTTATACAGGGTTCATACAATCTGGCAAATATGAAAACCTGTCACCAGAGATTTTAACAGGTCTGGGATGTGCTCAGGACCCAGGATTAAGAATCAATGTTCCAGAGCATATACAAAAGTATATATTTCTAAGGAATCAACAAAATGAATTAAAGTGTGAGCATAGTATAAGAGGATTACGGTATAAATTGGCTCTTTTGAAACAACTTGAAGCTGTATGTGTCCAAGTGATGAAGATCTCCAATTCTAACAGAACCCACAAAAGCGACAGACATAAAGCTCCCAGAGTTAGCAGCCAGGGCTGTGCCAACTTGACCAAGTTTTAGTTCTTTTAAGTAAAAATCGAAAATGCGTAATACAATAAACTTACTTCTTTGCTTTGTACACATAAGCACATCTCTTGCCTAGATAGAATTCCGTTTCATCTCGAGCATAAACACCTTCAATTTTAAGAAGAGCTGTATGCTCCCTCTGGTTCCGGAGACCCCGCTTGTAGCCAGCAAAAATGGCTTTGGACCATAGCCTAAGACACACAAAAGACATTAACCATAAGCTGTTACCTATAACTGTTCGTTTAAATTAAAAGATCAGTGTGTTATGCGTCATCCAAGTAAATGATCACTACTAAAAAGTTTCGTATTAACAAAAATCTAATTCAACAGCCCCGTCCACGTTTTAGGCTCTCCTTTAGGTCTAAGCCAAAAAATAGAAACTCACAATATTTAAAATGCCTACCTTCCAGCCATAGTTTAGAAGTCCTGTTTCCAGCAGGCCTTAAAACAAACCAACAAAGTCAGATTAAAATGACGTAATTTTCTCATTTCCTCCCCTCTTAGTTTGTTAGACAAATTATTTCTTGATCAGTGTTTCAAATTAACAGTGTGGGCAAAATTATGGCATGACAGATTTTAACAGGTTTGAAATGTGCAAACCTGGCAATCTGGCAAGACATACAAACAGAATGCACGGAATCTCGGAAATTCAAAGAAAGACAAAATGAAAGCGACAAAACATACTAAGAGAAACAACCCCAGGAACTCCAAAGCACTGGTAAGATTCATTCAAAACAATGATCAGGGGAAAAAACAATGTATCAAAGCAACACAGAAACTCGCACTTTTAAACACAGGATGCGAAAACAAGAAGACTGCAGACCAGCAAATTTGGATTTGATATTGGAGCAAACGGGAAAAGAGCCAAAGGAGCCACTGAGCTAAAAGGTAACTGTAGCCTATTTCATTCCGTCCGAGATGAAATGTGTCCCGTAACACCGCCGTCCGGGAGACTAGCACTATCCGTCTCACATCTCCTTCATCCTATCCTCCCGGTTGCTGTAACCCACAAGAATCACTAGCTTACAGACCCAGCAAAACACATCAGTGCCTCACCGAGTCATATGGTGGAGCCCACCTTAAATATTTGATCCCAAGTTTCAGCGGCAGAACTCTCACTCACCTCCACAGGGAACCAAGATGGTGGAAAGAGAAAGGCGGGGCTCCGCCGCGTAGCCTTATGGGAGAAACCTCTCCGCCTCGCCCGCAGTTTAGGCATCTTTCGAGATCGCCGAAACAAACAAACCTCATAAACTCGCCTCTGGCTGAAACAGTCACATTCAGGAGTACCCTAGTAATTTAATCCAAGAGAGTTATCATGTTTCTAAGCTGCATCATGTATTACTTTGGAACAGAGTTAGGCAAAATGATAGACAGCTAAAATAGAAAAGGTCCTTCAACGTTTTCGGTTGCCCTAGAAACACTTCCGCTTGGTTCCTGCGTGGTGCGGTGCTGTAAGTGGTGAAGTGGTAAAGCCAAGCCAGACGGAGCGTATCCTGTGCTTCGGGTATCCAGAGCCTCGGGTACCCCTGATTTATTTGCCAATGTGTGGCCGGGGCGAGGGGGTGTCTTTCCCTCTTACTAGACAGGCGTAGAGCAAAAAGGACATCTTGGTTCTAGACTGAAAAGCACGAAGACGGAGATGCTCATTCTTTTTTTCCCTTATATCTTTCCTCTTACTCCCTTTATCTCTTTCTACAAATTATTTCAGTTTCTGCATCCATCCTTCGTTTTGCCCCGGAGGGTGAGGAAGACTGCTCTAGAAAAATATTATTATTATTTTAATGGAGGCTTCAGGGATTGGTAATTGATTCAGCTGCTAAACTCTGGTGGCTCCCGACACAGCTCCCACCGGTAATAAGTAAATACTCATAAGGCGAAAATAGATTAGTGGGCTTCAGAGGTTTGCATTTCCTGATTATTGTACACTTATTGCAGTTGCCCTATGGATTCTTCCAGGTATTCAACAAGTAGTGTATTGAATGAGTACTATTTACCAAGCTTTGCTCTAGACCCAGAGGGCACTAAACAGAAATCTCTATCGTCATGGAACTAACATAATAATAGGGGAAGCAGGACATAAATATGTAAAATATGACACATTAGACGGTGATGGAAGATAAATTTTCTCTCTTGAAAAAAGTTAAGAAGACTTTTACTTTGGGATGGGAATTCATTTTGAGGGTTCTGTAGGGTTTAGTGACCCAGTCCATTTTCACAGGGTCACTGACTGGAGGCTGAAGAAAAGCAAGAACACCAGCAGGGAGATCAGTTAGGAAGTTCTTGTAGTCAATCTGATGAGAAATTATTGTGTGTAGACAGCGGTGACTGAGTACAGGTTTTCCAAATATATTTTTAAATATAATGTTGATTTGATTCGCTGATGAATGAGGGATGAGAGAATAAAAATTCCAAAGTTTTATGAAATATACATCTTATTTAAAATCAGATCTTCTTTTAAATACTAGAAACCTATTAAGTGTATTAAAAATCCCACTACTAGTATTCCAAGTTATGTACTCCTGGAAGGAATAACACTGAATTTCATTCCTTTATTCATTAACATATATAATTTTACAAATACTGATTATTGAGTACCGCGCCTGAAATGTTGACTATAATAATGAACTTCATTGTTGTGATTCCTGCGCTTAGAATTCATGAAGGGCTTGCATGTTGGGGGATGTGGAAATAAGAAGTAAAATCAATAGGATTGATAATAGGTAATGGGGGAATGTCCAGGTAAAAGAGAAAGCAAGAATGACTGCTGTGTTTCTAAAACTGAGGGATAAAAAGCCAGAATGGCATGAAACACAGCCCTGTTTCACCTATATGAGGCACATTCACTTATTCCCCAAGCCTCAAAAAAGCAACGCAAATGCATCTTAACACCTTGCTACGACCTCCTTGAAGCTAAGACTGCTCTTGCATCAGAAAACTCAGTATCCTTTCTGTCAGTTTACATATTCTTGAATTTTAAAATATAATTCCTGAAAATTTGACTATTCTTGAAATTTTTAATATAAAATTTTTGTTGCATTGTTCTCAGCACCACTTTACTGTGGAAAAATAATCCATAATGGAGGGGGCCCTCCCTGGTGGCACAACGGGTTAGGATGTAGCACTGCAAGCTGGCGGCAGCCGCTTCAGTGCAAGTTCCATACACAGCCCCAGAGGTGATCCACATGGCGTGGCAGACCTCTCCTGACCCACCCGCTGCTCCCCTCAGCAGTGTACCTCGATGATCTGCCTGTTCTGCTCCCCACTCTGTCTCTGGGGCAGCCTCTCACCATCCCTGCACCTCTGGCTTGTACCCCAATTTTGTATGCATAAATAAATAAATCTTTATAAAAATCCATACTGGAAACTCAACATTCATATAAACTGAGGTTAAAAAATAAAAAAAACAATTCTCCATGGGACGTTCTCATCTTGAGGGTTATTTCAGCCTAAAGGTCTTTGGTTTATTGAGGAGGGATAACATCTTGACAGCTATTAGTAAGATCCTGATTTTCATGATAAATAAGTTTTGCTAATTACAGTTTCTCTTTTTTTTTTAATATACAATTGAAATGGTTTATTGACAGTGGCAAGTCATTCCCATAGGATCGGGTGGTCGACCCCCATATCATTCCTGACAATTCAACAAATTTGCTGCAGCCTCAGAGCCTGTCAGGTCTGACTCCAGTGCCTGCCACTCCCTTCACTTTGTGGAGCGGCAGTATCAGCCATAGATTCCACCGGCACCTATTTGCATTCTTTCTCTAAGCTGGGCCTGCACACCACTTGGTGCTTCTAGCCAGCTTGCTGGGCAACACTAGGCTTGTGCTCATGATGGTGGTATGTGGCCGTGGGGCCAAGAGGTTTCAAAGTTCAATTCCAATTGTTTTCTAAATCCAGGTGCAATAAATTCTATTTTCTGGCAGATGAGGGGAAAGGAGTGATCACATTTAATATGACAATCACAGAAACATAAATATTATATATTACCATTCAAAAACCAGAATACAATTAAAAAAAGAAGCCCAATTGGACATTAATTAACCTTAAGAGATTTGAAGTTTGCATTTATCTGCCAACAATTAAGCTGAGGACAGCTAAATAGGCCTGAGTCACATTATGTCCATTGTCCTTTCATCTCTAGGACTATTCTGCTCAGCAAAAAGAGAAGATAAACCACAACTAGTAATTCTTACATCACACTCGTAATGAAAGGGCATAGAAACAACTTAATGTCAACACTCCCTTATACTAATGTCAGTGTTTTTCTTCCCATTTTAGGTTATTGAATTTATGTGAGATTATAAATGTACCAAGGAGCTTAACAAAATTAATTCAAGAAGAATGGAAGAGTATGTTCAAAATTCCAATTTATATCATTTATTGAAATGTAATCTTTTTTACATTCTATTTATGTAAAATTCATATATTTGATTATTTTTATATATTCAACTATTCAACATATTTATATTTAGATATGTACCATATGTAGATATTTAATATGTGTATGTTAATGCTTTGTATTATTTACATGTTGCTAGGAAACAAATTATTCTAAAGCTTAGTAACCTAATTATAAACATTGTTTGACAAAGCTTCTATGGCTGAGGAATCTGGGAGTAGCTTAGCTGATGAATGGCTCTAGCTTGGGATCTCTGACAAGGTTGTAGTTGGCCAGGGTTGTCGTCAACCTCATTTACAGAGCTGGCAACTAGATGCTCGAGATCATAGTTCCTCACTCTCATGGATCCTTCCAGAGGGCAACTCAAGTCATGCTTAAGACAAGGCAACTAGCTTCCCACAAAAGAAAAGTACCAGAGAGTAAGAGAAGCTGCACTGTCTTTCATCATCCATGATATCCTTTTTGTAACGTAAGTTAGCACTGTTCAATATCAGGAGAAACTACAAAAGGGCATGAATATGAGAAAATGAGAATCATATATGGCCCTTAGAAACTGGCTGCCACCTTTTTAGTAAGCCTCTAGAGCTGGAAAAAAAGTTTATTTTGGCTCAAGTTCAAATTGGTTGAAAAATGTCAAATAGCATAGGTTACATGACATTAAACAGTAAATTGCTTACCTTTGGTTGGTCATAATGTCACTGGGATGTATTTAGCAGACTCTTGCAAGTTCCTACTTTTTTTTCTTCATCCAGTATATGATGATATGGACTCTTCAGGAGCCAGCTATATGCTACCTGTATTTGTGATTTTTTTCTTTATTCTTTTTTAGAGATGAGCTTGAAGCCTCAGATCTTCCTCTAAATGATTTGCATTCTGAAATAACAGTATCAGTGACAGGCGAGCCACCCTCTGCAGCAGGTGAAGAAACTGACATAAAAGTCACTCAAGAAATCATAGAACCACTCTCCCTTCCAGATGTGCTGAGGATCTCTGCAGTCCTAGAGGACACCACTGTCCAGCTCTCTATTCTAAACTATATCATGCCAGTTCAGTATGAAAGAAGACAAAGCTCCAGCATGGTATGCACAATCACCATTACTTATATTTTGCTTTCTTTTTAGTTTTCCATCATTTATGTTCCCTATGCCTTTAACTTTAACCTGGGAAACAGCACTTTATCTCAGATGAAGGGCTACACTAATTATCTGAGATATGTTCTCTGAATTGATGGAGTAAAATAGCAATTACTCGTTATACCGCCCTTCATAATATCCTTTTCCACCAATATATTGATACTGTTTATAAAGATCTGTTTATATACATACACACTGAGGGGACCAGTGTGATATTACTGAGTTATTTATGTCATATTTCTTAGTTACTAAAAACAAATAGAGGGAAGAAATTCAACTGGACCCTCTTAAAATAACTTTAACCTAACATGACTTTGTCATTGCTGAATATGTTGCAACCTACCTTCTGAATATCCAGTCTTTATATTTTTAGTGATGTTATGGATTCCTCCTCAAAGCACCCCTGACTTATCTAAAAAAAGTTAGCTTTGTAGTGAGCAAAATTTTATAAATTTTTATTAATTCATAAAGTATAGTAACTTTTTATGGCTTAGGTATAAAAAGCTATAAAGTAGAAACAATTTATAAATAGAAATACAGATTTACTAAGTGATAGAATACACTATATAATTTGTAAAAATATATTCTTATTTCTGATTTTCT